CAACCAGGTACCCATTTTACTGTTGAGTTAAACATGACTACAGTTAAGGATTTGCACCCAGTAAATCCATCCCGGCCAGGATACGAACCCATGACAAAGCGCTCGCGGAACGCCAGGCGAGTGTCTTACCACTACACCACGAAGCCTATATCTGTGTCCAACCACCCAGTTCCAATAATGTTTCACACACATTTGTATCTCCTAATAGTTTATTTATAGGTCTTATAAGTTCCAGACTGTTTTTCAACATTTAACAATTTTGAATCTATATATTTTCCAGCACTGAATATACTTTTTAAACACGTATTATATGTGCTGTTTACACTGTTTTGGGGATGATGCTTTCCTGCTATAACAATGCTCTATGCATATGCAGAACTGACTATTGTACTGGCGGGATTCCAACTGTAAGAGTTCGAGACTGTCTTTCAACATTTAACACTGCTGTTTCTATGTCTCTCTCTCTTTGGTTATACACTTCACAAGGGTCTCTCTCTTACGTAATTCCCCTTTCCTGGGGTGATGAGGAAAAAAGACAAATTCATGTAAATTTAAAGAATTTACATAATTTTTTCTAAGCAAATTCTAACATAACAGAAATATACAAAATCCTAGTGGTGCTTACTAGCTAGCTAAATGACAGACAACAATGTATCTTGTAACCAAGACACGAGTGGCAATGGCTCTCCACTTGTTCCACACAGCAGGAGACCAACTTACATCATAGCTTCACACCTTCACGGTCTCTTCCAGAACTGTTTCACTTGACTTGTTAGGACTGACTAGACCAACGGAGGAGAGTATGAGGGATGTATGCATGATGTAGACTTGAGCTCTTGAATTGCATGAGTAGAAGTGGCTGCAATTGGTAGAACATACATATGGGTCACCAATGAGATGTTTCCCTCTTTGGATTCTGGATCATGTCTTAGGTTACTGACATCAGTTCATTTGAGTAATTGGAGCAAAGACATGGCTGCCACTCAGGTGACCTACTGTCACAACAGGATGCCACACTACTGACATGTTTCCTTGATTTGACTGTACCCGCGGTCTACAAGGGAAAACCCAAGTCAAAACAGACTAACGACTATAATGGTCACTTGATAACCATAAAGGAACTCTAAAGGGAGACTCCTGGATACTTGACACCTAGTATTCCACAGATACTTATAATTAAATGGCCATAACTTTACCTTGCACCTCTTCTTAGGCTTTTTCAAAGTGTAAGCACTGTACTATTATTATTGATTTATTGTTTCTCTTGGTGCTTTTGCTGTTACCGACTTCCTCTTCTTGGTATATGTGCGCCTTTTTCAAAGACCAGCCCTACCTCTCTTTGACCTCCGTCCGTTGTCTATACTGTCCAACTTGTCAGTGTATCTGGGGCTATCCGTAGGGTGTTCTGCATGTTGGTCGGTTGCAGATCCTCCATACTATGATGTGTCCGGAAACAGGTACCTACACTTTTGAGGGTCGAGACCACATAAGTGGGGTGTACATGATCACAACAAACCCAAGAAGTGCAGCTACGTGGCTTCCAACTGGGCCGTTAAATCTAGTGGATAATGCAATAAACAACTGCCGAGTGCTGTGGCTGCCTGCCTCACGCTATGAACATCATAACTAGCATTGTGTCACTGATACCTGAATGTTGATCCTGTAATGAAAACAATGTACATCTATGTCACAGGCATGTCAAACACCTGGCCCGCGGGCCACATGCGGCCCTTTACAAGCACACCTTCGGCCCCGCACAAAGGATACTATATTCTGCAATAATTTTTATTAAATGACTTCAATTAGTTGTCATGTGTGGCCCTCATGACCACACAAATGTGACCAATATGGCCCTCGGGGGCCCTCAGTTTGAAATCTATGGCACTATCAAAGCAAAATATCTGTTATTTTGTTCATTATTATTACATGGTGCTGTGGCACCTAGCTGCACAGCATTGCTGAGAGCTCCTGCTTCATATGCCAGCCTTGGTCACTCTCTCAGTACTGAGTCTCTCATAGCCAGGAGGGATGCTGATGATTTTTTTTTTCAAGATGGCATCAGTTTACTGGAGCCTTGAAGAATAGGATGCGAGCCCCATGCACCCATAGGAGTTTTAAATCTTATACTATACTAAAAAAAAATGGTTGTAGTGCACACCATCAATAAAACAACCCTGGTTGTAGTGTACAACATCAATAAAACAACCCTGGTTGTAGTGTGCACCATCGATGAAACAACCCTGGTTGTAGTGTGCACCATCGATGAAACAACCCTGGTTGTAGTGTGCACCATCGATGAAACAACCCTGGTTGTAGTGTGCACCATCGATGAAACAACCCTGGTTCAGTTGGGTAGTTGAAGGGTTAATAGCTGTGTAGCCCAGGGGTTAATATACCTAAGGCCCTCCACCCTGGTGATCATGCCTCTAAAGGAGGCCTAATGCAGGAGCAGCACTAGGGACTGTAGAGGGAAGGCTGGCTCTGAGCACATGCAGCTCCAAGTCCCTTATGAGCCAGGTTGAAACAACACAAATCAGACAGAAAACACATTCATAATGCTAACTAAAATATAAAACAGCAAGCAAATGGCCCCCACAGGACAAAATCCATGGATGGCTGGCACAACACTTAAAAGCAGCAGGACCGTCATGCCTGGTTGACAACCTGGGAGCCCAACAGTGGACAACCAGTGTCCATATCAGTGATTGAACCGACTTGCAGGCTGGGGAAGACATGGAGCTCCAGGCCCCCCAATCCTTACTGGCGGGGGTCAGTTCTAGGATGTGAGACCGAGCATACTGGATAAGTTCGCTAAAGAGCTCATACTAGTTTCGAGAGATCCGATTGATTGTTTACATTATTTGGGGTGTTTATTTTGTAGTATTGAGCCTTTTGTTTTTTAACCCAGCAATGGGTCTGTATTGGTTTGCTGACTTTTTGGACGATTTCTTGGTGGGATGGCAGTGTCATATGCTCCCTCTGCATCTATGAGAGCAGGGCCAGGTCATGGCTCTGGTTTCCAGTAAGCCAAACAGAATCCCATAGCTGATGTGACCTAGCATCAGTGATCTAGCATCATTAGTGACCTTTTGATAAATGTGACCATGGTGTTATTGCACAAAGAATGCGTTCAAAAGGAATTACCTGGAAAATAGGCAGATGGATCTACAATTTCCTGACTAACAGAACCCAATGTGTAATAGTCAACAAAATAAAATCTAGCCCATCAACCGTGAAGAGCTCAGTCCCCCAGGGTACTGTGCTTGCTCCAGTACTTTCTCTCATCCTCATATCGGACATAGACAAGAACACAACCTATAGCAGGATTTTCACTAGGATTTTCATGAGAGTTGGCAACATAGAGGACACGGCAAACCTCCAATCAGATGTACATCAGGTCTTTCTATGGGCTACAGAAAATAATATGGTGTTTAACAAGGATAAGTTAGAGCTCATATGCTACGGAAAAATTGAAAATATAAAAACAGAAACCACGTACAAAACTCAGGCAAATCATAACATAGAACGAAAAGGCAATGTAAAGGATCTGGGTGTACTCATGTCGGAAGACCTTACCTTTAAAGAACACAATAAAGTAGCCGTCACAACTGCAAGAAAAATGACAGGTTGGATAACAAGAACTTTTCACACTAGAGATGCTATACCGATGATGATACTTATCAAAACGCTTGTGCTCTCTAGAGTGGAGTACTGCTGCACAATGACAGCCCCTTTCAAAGCTGGAGAAATTGCTGACCTGCAGAGCGTGCAGAGATACTTTACTGCTAGAATCCACTCAGTTAAACATCTAAATTACTGGGACCAACTAAAGAGCCTAAATCTGTACTCCCTTGAGCGCAGGCGGGGGAGATACATAATAATTTACACATGGAAAATAATTGAGGGGCTGGTCCCAAACCTGCACACAGAAATAACATCACATGAGACCAGGAGGCATGGCAGGATGTGCAGAATACCCCCGTTGAAAAGCAGAGGTGCAACAGGTACTCTGAGAGAGAACTCTATCAACATCAGAGGCCCGAGACTGTTCAACACGCTTCCACTACACATAAGGGGCATAACTGGCCAACCCCTCACAGTGTTCAAGAGAGAACTGGATAAGCACCTCCAAAGGATACCTGATCAACCAGGCTGTGACTCATACGTCAGGCTGCGAGCAGCCGCGTCAAACAGCCTGGTTGATCAGTCCGGCAACCAGGAGGCCTGGTCGACGACCGGGCCGCGGGGACGCTAAGCCCCGGAAGCACCTCAAGGTAACCTCAAGGTAGCAAGTGGGAGCCATTTCGGTGAGATAGCTTCAGGGAGCCACAAAGGGCTTTTCCCAGAAAGCCAGTCATATGTCATGATGGTTATCTTGAGGTTATCTTGAGATGATTTCGGGGCTTTAGTGTCCCCGCGGCCCGGTCCTCGACCAGGCCTCCACCCCCAGGAAGCAGCCCGTGACAGCTGACTAACACCCAGGTACCTATTTTACTGCTAGGTAACAGGGGCATAGGGTGAAAGAAACTCTGCCCATTGTTTCTCGCCGACGCCTGGGATCGAACCCAGGACCACAGGATCACAAGTCCAGCGTGCTGTCCGCTCGGCCGACCGGCTCCCCATGATGAAAATCTTTGCTGAATGAATGTTAAGGATGAAGAATTGTTTGAAATTGAATGGGTAACAAATGATCATCTAGGTAAATCTATGTCCTATTTGGGCGACACAAGCCATAGTACTCAACCTTTACTCACTAGCGCTAAAATTATCAGATTTGGCTTGTTTTAACATCCATTTTTAAGTGCATATTCTTCTGCCTTCCCAACTTCCTATTAAAACTACCGCCTTGAGGAAGTCACCGAGAAATTTTAATAATATTACTAGTAGTATTGTATATCTGAAATAAATGTTGGAACACCATTGTATTTACTGTACTGACAAGTTCACATTTCACTATTTTTTTTTTTTTTTACAGCATAAAATTAAAAACAAAAACTCACTTATATTGACCACCAGAATCACACAGATAGACCTCATCAGTAGTAATGTGACGGTCAGTTTCTGGTGTTGGAGTGTAGTGAATCACTGAAGCATTCGGACCAACTGATGAAATTGTGGAGAAACTCAATCCAACGAAGTCATCCAACTCACTGAAGTAGAATACAAAAATGCTTAATATGTATTACCGTATTTGTTGGCGTATAAGACGAGCTTTTTTTGTATTTTTAAATGTATATGCAAAATTGTCCTGTGTCTAATGCAGTCGTATTATGGATGTGAGACCGAGCATACTGGGTAAGTTCACTAGGCTCAAAAATTGTTGCTAATAATAGAATTTGGGAAAAGAAACCACATTATTACAGTAATTGTATTACTAATAATAAAAATACAGTACTGAAAACAAGCAGAGTTATCACAGTCCGTTATCACAAACTTAGGAAAAATTGCTTACGATATACGTCGGCAGTTATGAAGGAAACTCACATCTCGCCACCAAACCCAGCATACATAACCCACACCTGATATATGTCATACATTATTTAACGACTTAATTTAACGACTGTTACCTTTAACCACTGCACTGCACAGAGCGCCTTAATGCACTGGATGGAGGGTGCGCATAGCTCCATATGGCAATCGTAGGTATATCCTAGGATTCAAAACTGGCGCGGTGACTTGGGTACGAGATGGATGCCCAAGGTCTCCAGTGAGCGTCCGCCATTTTGAAAAAAAATCCCAGCATGCCCCTCGGCTGTCGGGAGCCTCAATATCAAGGTAGCAAACCATGTCTGACGCATCATCAACGAGCTCTGGGTCTACGGTCAGCCACAGTGTTGAAAAATGACTAAGATGTAGAAATACAGGACATACTGTTTGATGAGGAACATATTAGTGACACTGAAGACTATAGTCCTGAAAAAGACCTAACACAGGCATCTGACACAAGTGATACGGACATTGAGGTGAACAACGTAGTGTGTGTGTGTACAGTACACGCATCTCGCCCAGCCTCCCATGCCACCCTAGGTCAACATCACTGGATTTACCATCACCATCTGTGTCATCTGACATGTCTCTACTGAGTGATAGTATAGGTGATGAGCCATTTTCTGGGTTCAGTGACACAGGCTCAGATACAAGCAGTGTTGATGAACCAAATGCAAGCAGCTATGGTGTTACTAGGCAGGGTTTCTGCAGCCCCCAGCAACACAGCGAGGCAAGCGCCAGTGTGTCACGAGGCCTGAGGACAAAGATGATAGTGAGGCCTCGACATCAGGTGTTTGTGGTAGGCCTATACTACGCAGAACAGCCTCATCTCCTGACATTTGTAGCTCTATCACAAGACAACACAGCCGTGGTGTTGGCACCTGTGTTGTTGGTGCTCGTGATGGTGTAGGCCGTGGTGTTGGCACCTGTGTTGTTGGTGCTCGTGATGGTGTAGGCCGTGGTGTTGGCACCTGTGTTGTTGGTGCTCGTGATGGTGTAGGCCGTGGTGTTGGCACCTGTGTTGTTGGTGCTCGTGATGGTGTAGGCCGTGGTGTTGGCACCTGTGTTGTTGGTGCTCGTGATGGTGTAGGCCGTGGTGTTGGCACCTGTGTTGTTGGTGCTCGTGATGGTGTAGGCCGTGGTGTTGGCACCTGTGTTGTTGGTGCTCGTGATGGTGTAGACCGTGGTGTTGGCACCTGTGTTGTTGGTGCTCGTGATGGTGTAGGCCGTGGTGTTGGCACCTGTGTTGTTGGTGCTCGTGATGGTGTAGGCCGTGGTGTTGGTGCTCGTGATGGTGTAGGCCGTGGTGTTGGCACCTGTGTTGTTGGTGCTCGTGATGGTGTAGGCCGTGGTGTTGGCACCTGTGTTGTTGGTGCTCGTGATGGTGTAGACCGTGGTGTTGGCACCTGTGTTGTTGGTGCTCGTGATGGTGTAGGCCGTGGTGTTGGCACCTGTGTTGTTGGTGCTCGTGATGGTGTAGGCCGTGGTGTTGGCACCTGTGTTGTTGGTGCTCGTGATGGTGTAGGCCGTGGTGTTGGCACCTGTGTTGTTGGTGCTCGTGATGGTGTAGGCCGTGGTGTTGGTGCTCGTGATGGTGTAGGCCGTGGTGTTGGCACCTGTGTTGTTGGTGCTCGTGATGGTGTAGGCCGTGGTGTTGGCACCTGTGTTGTTGGTGCTCGTGATGGTGTAGGCCGTGGTGTTGGTGCTCGTGATGGTGTAGGCCATGGTGTTGGCACCTGTGTTGTTGGTGCTCGTGATGGTGTAGGCCGTGGTGTTGGCACCTGTGTTGTTGGTGCTCATGATGGTGTAGGCCGTGGTGTTGGCACCTGTGTTGTTGGTGCTCGTGATGGTGTAGGCCGTGGTGTTGGCACCTGTGTTGTTGGTGCTCGTGATGGTGTAGGCCGTGGTGTTGGCACCTGTGTTGTTGGTGCTCGTGATGGTGTAGGCCGTGGTGTTGGCACCTGTGTTGTTGGTGCTCGTGATGGTGTAGGCCGTGGTGTTGGCACCTGTGTTGTTGGTGCTCGTGATGGTGTAGGCCGTGGTGTTGGCACCTGTGTTGTTGGTGCTCGTGATGGTGTAGGCCGTGGTGTTGGCACCTGTGTTGTTGGTGCTCATGATGGTGTAGGCCGTGGTGTTGGCACCTGTGTTGTTGGTGCTCGTGATGGTGTAGGCCGTGGTGTTGGCACCTGTGTTGTTGGTGCTCGTGATGGTGTAGGCCGTGGTGTTGGCACCTGTGTTGTTGGTGCTCATGATGGTGTAGGCCGTGGTGTTGGCACCTGTGCTGTTGGTGCTCGTGATGGTGTAGGCCGTGGTGTTGGCACCTGTGCTGTTGGTGCTCGTGATGGTGTAGGCCGTGGTGTTGGTGCTCGTGATGGTGTAGACCGTGGTGTTGGCACCTGTGTTGTTGGTGCTCATGATGGTGTAGGCCGTGGTGTTGGCACCTGTGTTGTTGGTGCTCGTGATGGTGTAGGCCGTGGTGTTGGCACCTGTGTTGTATGGTGCTCATGATGGTGTAGGCCGTGGTGTTGGCACCTGTGCTGTTGGTGCTCATGATGGTGACGGCCGTGGTGTTGGTGCTCGTGATGGTGTAGGCCGTGCTGTTGGTGCTCGTGATGGTGTAGGCCGTGGTGTTGGTGCTCGTGATGGTGTAGGCCGTGGTGTTGGCACCTGTGTTGTTGGTGCTCATGATGGTGTAGGCCGTGGTGTTGGTGCTCGTGATGGTGTAGGCCGTGGTGTTGGCACCTGTGTTGTTGGTGCTCGTGATGGTGTAGGCCGTGGTGTTGGTGCTCGTGATGGTGTAGGCCGTGGTGTTGGTGCTCGTGATGGTGTAGGCCGTGGTGTTGGTGCTCGTGATGGTGTAGGCTGTGGTGTTGGTGCTCGTGATGGTGTAGGCCGTGGTGTTGGTGCTCGTGATGGTGTAGGCCGTGGTGTTGGTGCTCGTGATGGTGTAGGCCGTGGTGTTGGTGCTCGTGATGGTGTAGGCCGTGGTGTTGGTGCTCGTGATGGTGTAGGCCGTGGTGTTGGTGCTCGTGATGGTGTAGGCCGTGGTGTTGGTGCTCGTGATGGTGTAGGCCGTGGTGTTGGTGCTCGTGATGGTGTAGGCCGTGGTGTTGGTGCTCGTGATGGTGTAGGCCGTGGTGTTGGTGCTCGTGATGGTGTAGGCCGTGGTGTTGGTGCTCGTGATGGTGTAGGCCGTGGTGTTGGTGCTCGTGATGGTGTAGGCCGTGGTGTTGGTGCTCGTGATGGTGTAGGCCGTGGTGTTGGTGCTCGTGATGGTGTAGGCCGTGGTGTTGGTGCTCGTGATGGTGTAGGCCGTGGTGTTGGTGCTCGTGATGGTGTAGGCCGTGGTGTTGGTGCTCGTGATGGTGTAGGCCGTGGTGTTGGTGCTCGTGATGGTGTAGGCCGTGGTGTTGGCACCAAAACCAAAAACACGGGTGAACAAAAAGCATGGGTTAACTTGTGTGGGAGGAGTGTGACAATTTTGTACCCACAAATTCCAGCACTTGATAATACCAATAATGGTGTGATACCCTTATTCTCCTAAACTAGCGATGATATGGCTGAAATTGATTATTTTATGGCATATTTTGATCAAGCATTCATAGACCATCTCATTGCAGAGATGAACCGATATGCTCTGCAACTCATTGCCTCTGGAATTTTACCTACCTCTCGAATGATTAAATACCAGACGCAAAGAACGGAAGAATAGAACGAACCAGCCAGGTAAGAACCGGCCCGATTTACTGAAAGAGGCTGAGCCACGGAAAAAGCCACGGGTTCGGATACAGAGCAAGCAGTGCTTGAAACCAAGGCTGGGCTGGCCACCATGGGTCCAGAAGAAGATCCCTCCCCTGATAGGACTCAAGCGCCACATTTAAATAACCCAAAGCAGCAGCCAGACCAGGGAAAAAAAAAAGTATAGGTAACTTCACCTCTACCAATTCTGCTGAAAGGCATCTACCACGATGGCTTCACAGGCAGGGAAGGGCGCCACATTTATCGGGAAACGCCTCGACCACACTGACACGAAGAGGTCCACCTCCGGGGGGCCAGAATGTCTATCAAAGCCAACTGAAGGAGTCGGCATCGACCATCCATTGCATGGACAGGGAAATGAACCACAACAGGCCATCCACCAGAACATTGGACTGGCCCCTGATGTGAACCCCATGGAGAGCTAAACCCCAAGAACCCACTTCTTGGGGTTTAGACGTCTCAACCCGCAGTAGAGACACTCGAAGCGACCAGCCCCAAAGAACCAGATACCAAAGAGACCCTCCCCTCGGTGGTTCAGACAATGAACCACTGGGGTGCAGTCCGAATAGAGCCGGATCGTAGAACCTTGAACCGAGCTGAATGTGCCGCAGCGAAAGTCACCCTGTCATAAACTCCCGCACTGTGCTGTGAGCTTGATGGAATCTGCTTGATGGAGTTCTAGGAGTTCTATATCCCAAGCCTGGCCCAAGGCCAGGCTTGACTTGTGAGAATGGAGCGACGGAGTCCAACGCCACTGACCGGCATTGTGAGCACTGGTCACAAAGCCCCAGCCGAGAGACGAGGCATCCGTGTACACAGAGCAAGAGTTCCGGAAGGCGCCACAGTACCGAACTTCAATAAACCGGAGGAGAAAGCCGGCGCCACAGCAACCAACGCAAGGTCTCCAGCAGACGAAGCCAGCGATTGCGAG